TCCACGTCTTCCCATGATCAGTGCCCCCAGCAGGGCAGTAATAGTCATTGCCCAGAAGGCTATTTTGTGATTTTTTTAAACAATGTGCCTTAATCCAGTCATTAAATTGTGGCTTTGTTGGCGACAATTTTTGTTGTTGGCAATGCCATCAAGCCAACAGAACTAACGATACCCTGTGTGAATCTTCAAGGCTGAGAACATGAAAGGAAAATCACATTTGTATTCTTCTTTTATTAAAAAAAACAACTTTGTAAACACACATTTTCTCGTAAGTAGTTCCTCATACCATTTCTGAATTAACTATAGAAAAAAAACCCTCTTCCTCCAACAGAGAACAGCTCTTTTTATAATAAAACACCGAGTCACCCCCTAGATCTCAAGATGTGCACAGATATTGTTGAAATATAAAGGGTAACTCTAATTTTAGTCTTAATTAGGGGGCAAAGGCATTCATTTGGAACAGCCTTGTGCTTTGAGGTTATTCCAGAGGTGCACTTGCAGATTTAGGAAGATGAAAAGAAACCATTTGAATCAAACATTCCTCTCAGAGGTCACCCACATTGCCTGTCAGAAATACCGAAAGACTAAGGTTTAAGAGATAAAGCTCCCTCAGTATGGTTGTTTCTTCTCTTCGCATGGAAGAATCACCTTTTGTTCTCACAAGATAATTTTGAATTAAGATAGCTAGCAATTGTTTATCAAACTACAAATAATAGGTAAACTAGCTTCAAAATCCAATCACCTATACAAATGTTCGTGCATTATTTCTAAAAACCCTAAGTGTCCATAAACATATAAATGGATAAACAAAATTAAGTACAATTGATCCTCCTTATCTGTAGGTTCCACATCTTCAGATTCAACCAACCACAGGTCAATAATATTAGGGGGCGGAATGAGAGGAGCAAGTGGTCAATCATCAAAGAAATAGCTCAGAGGCTGAGAGGGGTCCCAAAAGCTCTTTATAGTATATTAGAAACTACAAGTGAACTAAAGTATACTAGGAAGTACCCCCCAAAAGAACAAGAATTGTGCTGTGTGGAGTGGAGCTTTCGTAGTATGAATTTTACCTGCTAGGCGAGCATCCAGCAAGTCACTCTGAGTTAGTGCACCCAGTGGCATCACCTGGGAAGATTCTCTCTGGTCACATGATTTTTTCATCAAAACAGTTTTGCTCAAACCTCATTTGTGTGTGTGTGTGATGGTCCATTTAAGAAAACATCGTGTAGCTGTGAAATTTTGTTTCCTGCTCAGGAAAAATGCCACAGAAACTCTTGTGATGTTGAACATAGCATATAAGGACACCACAATGGAAAAAACTCAAGTGTATGAGTGGTTTTCTTGGTTCAGGAAAGATGTTACATTGATGACAAACCATGTTCTGGACATCCATTAACTTCCTGAATGGGTGAAAATGTCGACTCAGCGCATTTTTAGTTCCTTCCACCAGGTCAGACTGCTAACCAAAACTTTCTATCTAGAGATTCTGAAAAGACTGCATAAAAGTGTGACAAAAAAGGCCAGACTTGTGGCAGATTGAGGATTGGTTTTGCCACCACAATAACGCAGCTGCTCATGCAACCATCTCAGTGTGCCAGTTTTGGCAAAAAACAGCATGCCTCTCTCGCCCCTCACACCTGACTCACCTGACCTCACTCTGTGCAGCTTCTTTTCGTTTCTGCAAATGGACGTGAAAGGACAGCTATCTGACAACACAGAAGAGGTGAAGAAGACACAAGAGAAGTGCTATCAGCCATCCAAACAGATAGTTTGAAAAGTGTTTCTAGGAATGGAATTGCAGATGTGACAAATGTGTTAAGTGCAATGGAGAGTCCTTTGGAGGTGATCGGTTGTGTTAAATACATAGCTTTGGGGTGGGGCGTGGAATCCCGGGGTTGTTTGGGTACCCCCTCATACGTGAGCATGTAGCATGTAAGTTCTATGCAAACACTGTGACATTTCAACTACGCAGCAGGAGTATCTGCAGAGTTTGGTGTCCATAAGGGTCCTGGAACCAAGCCCCTGTGAAGACCGAGGGGCAGCGGAATGTTTTTTCAGCAGTAAAAAGACTGAAACACGGATACATGCTACAGCATGGATAACCCTTGAAAAGATGATGCTAAACGAAGGAAGTTAGCCTCAAGACCTCACAAATTTATGTGAAATGTCCAGAATAGGCAAATTCATAAACAAAAAAGTCAGCTACTCGTCGCCTAGGTGAGATGTAGTCAATTATTTCTATGGCCCTTCCAGCCATAATCCTGTTGAGCTACGATCCCTTACATGAGATATTCCTTTGTGGCTGTGACTGAGGCTATAACCCCACTTTGGAGGGGGGTTTCTGCTATGGTAATGGGTAGGATGAAGGTGAGATTAAGTTTCTACCTTAGTGGAAAGTGTGAGCCAAGTGCCACCCTTTGTGTCCTTGGGTATAAGATGTGCTGAAGGACACGAGGCACACCTCAAAGATACTCATCTGTGTATAGAGCCAGCTCACAAGCAGGAATACGGTGAGAAAGCCCAGGACCATCAAAGGAGTATGTTTGAGATCTCTCTCTGTAGTGCTGGAGGCCAAGACCAGAGGCACATGAGGCTGCAGCAAAGGACCTATGGGACAGAACAAAGGAGCCAGATCAAGACTAGACGCTGAGGCAGAGATTATGAGACTATGAGGCTGGGCAGTGGTTTGGCTTCCTGGCCCCTGGAGGCAGAGGCCAAGGGACCACACTGCTAAAAGCTTGAGGACTGAAGAAACCTGGCTACTGGCTGAGCAGAGTTGGTGCTGTGGATTAATGACTCTCCTCCCATTTAGACCACTTGCCTTGTGGTAAGCTGTTCATTCCCGCAATAAGTCCTGTTCTGAGTGTTGTCTATGAGTTCTGTGTGGCCATATCAACAAACTATTAGATCCACCCCAGAAGTAGACTGCCATGGGAGGGATGGTTGGCATCAAAGAGGTATAGACAGTTGTTGGTGGAGGCATGTCTGACCTCTGCCTCAAGGACAATGTGGAATCAAAAATGGGTAATATCACTCACTGCCACCAAGTCAATGCTGACTTGTAGTGACCCACTACGGGTTTCTGAAACTGTAACTGTTTAGGGGAGTAGAAAGCCCAGTCTTTTCCCCAAGGAGCTGCTGATGGTTTTGAACTGCCGACCATTGGGATCACAACCTTACACATAATCACTATACCACCAAGACTCTTGTGTTAATGGGTAAGGTTGATGTTTGTATAATTTGGTGAATTTACTAAAAACCATTGAACTATAAGCTGTAAGTGGCAGATATCTTTTATTTTTTGTTGTCATTGAGCATATAAACAGAACAAACACCTTCCATACGAGTCAGTGACATTGTGCAAGCATTTTCACACACCCTTTTCCCAGTTGTTCCTCCTACATCCACATAAACCCTCTGCTCACCCCTCCCCGAGTCTCCTAAGTAGTCTTTCCAGTTGTCACTTGGATCCCAGCGTTCTTAACAGCTTAATATTCCAGGGATACCTTCTTTACTAACTCAGCTATTTGTTTTAAAAAGACTTCAGTGGATAGCTTTGGTTTAAAGCATCTCAGGGCAATAGTTTTAGGAATATCTAGTCTCCATGCTTCCAAGAAGTCTGGATTCCAGACTTTGAAATTCTGTTTTGTATATTCTCCCATTTGATAAGGATTCTTTTATAGGGTCTTTGACCAAAATTTTCAATAGCCAGGCATCATCTAGTGCTTCTGGTCTCGTGGGGGTAAAAATCAGCCACAGGCTCCACTTCTCCCTTTTGGACACTCCTTCTTCCTCTGTTCCTCCAAACAAATAGAAAGCAATGGTACTGAACCACACAATGAACCGGGAGGGACAACGGAACCACTGAACATGCAGGCCAATGAACTGTGATACAAACTACAGAGTCCTGGTGGTGTAGTGGTTATGCACTGGGCTCCTAAGGTCAGCAGTTTGAAACCCCTAGCCTCTCCATGGAAAAAAAAAGATGGGCTTTCTAATGAACTGTGATACCCATCAAACCAAAGCTTCAATCTTCAATCTAAGAAAGAGAACAATGAGGTGACTGGTTGTGCATAAGCCGTCTCAGCAGCTGCGTTGGGTTGTAAATCACACCATGCGTGCCATTTCAGCTCTTGACAGGTGTTAAGTGGATGCATTTTACATTCATTCTTAATAATGGGAGCGGTGGATCCCACCTCATGACTGTCTGGTTTTAGAAAATGTTAAATGCAAGTTTAATTATACTAAATAAGGGGGGGGGCAACTACATTAATATAGCTATTGGACAAAAAATCTCATTGTACTTAACGGTTAAAAACCCCACACGAATACCATTAAGAACAGAAATGCTTTCTAATGACCCGTTTGTTGTTGCCAAATGCATCTATGATTAGTCCGTGGGGTAGGAAATTTCACTTTCTAGTGGTTTCGTCCTGAGGTAGCTAGAAAACACGAATCTGTGTGTTCACACAGCAATTACATCAGAGGGTAGGGTAGCTCTTGCAAAGAGTACAAAAGGACTCTCCAGAGAGCAGTGTTTAAATTGGCCAAAAGCCGCGCGTTCTGGCTGGCTGGGAATCACCTGTGGCACCAAGAGATGGCCAGCCGTTGGCTGAGTCGACACGCACAGGTGCAGCCCAGAAACTCAGCGAAGGGACTCAAACTCCTGGGGTTAGCACTCAGTAACTTACCCCTGAAGGGTTAGAAACAGTCACGTGAGCAGCTGCTAACGGAAAGGTTGGACATTAAAGTCCACCCAGAGGTCCCTTGGAAGAAAGGCGTGGTGAATTAGTTCCCCAAAATCAGCCATGGAAAACCCTAGGGAGCACCGTTCTGCTCTGACCCCCATGGAGTCACCAAGAGTCAGCCTCAGAGGCCGCCACGGAGCTCACCAAACAGACGAGCAACCAACAGAGCGGAGAAGCCCCCCGTTCCTTGTTAGACCCTTCAGGGGCTTTTCCTACGGATTTCCACAAACAAAACAAGACGTAATCGCTCTGAAGCAAGAGGTGCTAAAATCGTTTGAACGTGATGAGCATGGAACGCAATACAGCAAGCAATCTTTCATGCTCCGATTGAACAGTAAAGAACATTTTTAAATTAGGAGATTGTCTCGGAGAGTCCTTAACATATCATCTTTGGCCTCTAGTCAAGAGAACAATAAAGTCTTAAGAGTCTCATTGAATTACATTTAATTAAACACGAACATCACATACTTTCACCTTCTCCCAAATGGTAACTTAAATCTTAATGAAAGAAATGGAATTTGGTTATTAGTGCTTTGGGGAAATTTTTTAAAAGATTTCAAAGTCTTGCCACCAAACTTTAAAGCTTTTTTTTTTTTTTAAGTGGTTACCAACAGCCTCGTTCTCTACTTAGCAGTTCAATATGAACCGCCCAAGTTTAGTCCAATCATTTAACTTTAGTTCCTTGGCATCTACAACATAATTGGCTTTAAAATTTGCCCTGGACAGCTGTCCAGGACACGGGCCTTCTTCCTCGAAACACTGTCAGTTAGCCTGGGCAACTCGAGCGCCAGAGCCATGTAAGTTCAACATCGTCGTCACCAACTCCGGAAGATCAAAATCGTGTTTCCATCCCCAGTCCTTCCGAGCATTGCTGTCATCAAAGTTCATGGGCCAACTATCCGCTAGAACAAATGGAGGTGTAGAGTAAGTCAGCAGGGTACCACACAGTGAAGTGTCTGACCACTAGCCTAGTGGTTGGCCACCCAAACCCACCCAAAGGTGCCTCAGAAGCCAAGCCTGGCCACGGCTGCTGAAAACGCTGTGGAGTTGCTGGAGTTCTCTTCTGCACCCATGAGTTGAAATTGCCCGGACAGCAACTAACAGTACGCCTGAGTTAGCTCCCACCATGGAAACTCACTGCCATCGCGCCGCCTCTGACTCACGGCGACCCTACAGGACAGAGGCGAACTGCCCTCGTGGGCTTCTGAGACTGGCACTGTTTACAGGAGTAGAAGCCTCAGCTCTCTCTCCAGCGGAGTGGCTAGTGGTTTTTAAGCTACTGACCCTGTGGTTTGCAGCCAAACTCCTAAGCCCTACACCAGCAGGGTTCCTAAATTAGCTAGATTTACAAAAAAGGTCAAAAGCATCTTACATAAAGCTTTCTCCTACAAAGTACCCAGAAGAAATTCCCTCGTTCGGTAGGCCGGAGCTGCTGCTGCACGCAGAGTGGTCGTCTTAGATTAAAACGAGACGTCTTGCACCTCTCCTGCCAAGCACTGTGGAATTTTCACCTATCATTACAATCTCGCACTTTCTCCTTGAGTCTGGCTTTAATGTCACAGATTAGGAAATACACCCAGAATGGGGTGTCAGGGCATAAAGTGCCCAAGGCAAGCATTTGCAGACCTAGACCGGTTCCCTATTGTCCCCATCACTTCCACTTCTGTTTGTTTTACGTTTAAGCTGTAGTGTCGGTGAGATGCTGACAGGCTGTTAATTTGGAATGAGTATTTCCCCGTGGTAGATATCATTTGTAAAATCAGAGCCTCTGCTGACTTTGGCTCATTTCAAGCAGGGTGGGTCTCTCACTCACCCACACGGTCCATGGGCCTAATAAATTCTGGAGAAGAAAGCTGTGCTCACTCAACCTGTCACTATCTATACCCCTACAGAACCCACAGCGAGGGCCAAGCTTTCATTTGAGCCTGAGAGTGATTGGCACTGACGGACCCACCTATGGCCTGCCGGACAGAATCCACGTTGTATGTGATCTGGAACTCCGGCACGTGCTTCAGAACCTCCTGGGCCAGCTCCTTCGGGGTGAAGCTCATGGCGTTTATGTTGTAAGTCCTCATGGAGAGAGACTTTGCTGGGGCCTCCATGACCTCCAGGGTGGCCCTGAGACAGTCGTCAATGTACATCATTGGGAGCTTTGTGCTAGGTTTCAGGTTGCACTCAAACCTGCCATTCTTAGCAGCGCTGTGGAAAATCTGGACCGCGTAATCTGAAAGGAAATTCTGCCCGTGGGTTTTCTGACAGCAAAAGAATGAAGCAAATCTTTGGCTCGAGGATCCTCTTGGACTCCCGGAAAGGTTCTCCAGATGCCTAGAGCCCACTCCGAGAAAAGCTATCTTTAAGGTAGAAGCTTTTAAAAAGTAAACCCAAACTTCCTTCTAAACCCTTCAGACACTGTGGAGTATTTCCTACATTTTATATTGGCACTCAAACATAGCATTTCCTGAGTCCAATACATGCTATGTCAAAAGCAATAATGATTAATAATGTTTATTTTCCTTTCAAGTATTCAATGAATAGAGTCTGTTTAATAAGACATTGTGGAGTTACATAATCTCCTATCAACTTGAATGAAAGAGTGGAATCTAGCCTGTCAATCAGGTCATAGCCAATAATGCTTCTCCTGAGGATTCTGGGAACTCCTGTTTTCCTCCCTGGAGGCAGGGCGCGCACTCTCTCTGCTTCACCTTCCTGTTGACAAGCCACGTGGAGTCATGCTGATGACAGCTACAACCCTGGAGATGCTTCTACCACCACTGGATCCACAAGACTTTCCCCTCACTGGCCCGTGATCTTCCTGCATTCAGCATCATTGCATGTGTGGTGTGAGTCTGAAGAGGGCTTTAAAGACTGGTCTCGGAGTTATGGGCTGATATCGGACTTATGGACTTGACCTGGACTGGGCCGGGCTGTTTTCTTGATAGACACACATATATGAATGTCTCGAGTTGTTTCAATATGGACTGACACAGCCATCTTTGTAGGAAGGCTACACTCAAAGGAAAGAGGCTGTTCTCATTTGATGTCTTCCCACATAGTGGGTGATACATTTAGTCTCGAAGCATATATGTGATTTTAACTTTGTGATTAGATAAGCTCAATAGTGAGTTGCAAACTCAGACCTTTGCCGCCCTTAGCAAATGTAAGTCAGTAGGGTTCAACGAGTATCTCAGATGCACATCTTGGGAAGGAAGCCCTCTCTCATCTAGACAGGACTAGAAGAGAGCAGATTTATTCACCACGAAGAAGAGTCCTCCTAGTCGTGAAAAAGCCTATTTTAGTACATACAGAATGTGGTGGGGTGAGATTTTTCTTCATAGGGCTCTTCTAGTCGATGTCTCTGTAACTCCCACCGAATGACTGGATGGGACACAGCAAACAGGGCATGCGTGACCCTGGGAGAGGGCTGTGATCAGTGGGAGTTACCACCCTTCCCTGGCTATAAGGATGCGCCGTCTCGCGGGAAGAAAGAAAAACCGCAAGCCCATTGGGCGAGCCTCTGTGCAGCACATTCACGACCTCTCAGAGACTGGGAGGCAGAGGCGCGGCTCGGGGAGGCAGCCGCGGAGGGATCACATGCCTGAGAAGCTGAGTGCCAGTGGGAAGAATGGGTGACGTCAGACTAAGGTAAAGAAGGAAGGCGGGAGAAGCCATGTCTGGCCCCTGCCTCGAGGCAAAGGGAAGCCAGAGGAGGTCAGATAAGGCCCCTCCCACACCATTTACTGAGCAGAAAAAATAAGGAAGAACATTTACCAGTTGTTCCTCCTCCAGGTTGGGAGTCTGCTGAAATGATTCCGGGATATCTCAGGCATCGGAAATCTAACCCATATCGATAATAATAGTACTATAAAAAAGATAAACAGATTTTTTAAATTTCTTAATCAAATAGAGCAATGCAGTAAAATAGTGCTTCTCTCTCTGAAATACACTGCCTTATAATTAACTATGTCAAGAGCTAACCCAAGGTGAGAGGTTCAAACCTATCAGCTGTTTTGAGAGAGACAGAAGAGGCTTTCTCCCATAAAGATCTGAAGTATCAGAGAGCCAACAGGACTGTTTTATTCTGTCCTATAGGGTTGCGATGAGTCAGAATCAACTCAATGTCAGTGATTTTGGTGTTTTGGTTAAAGAATATGAAGACTTTAGTTTCCAACCTCTTTTTTTTTTTTTTTTTGAAGGGATGCACCACTTGTGGTCTTAAATCAGTCTCCAAGGGATGCTCTGCATGCAGTATTAGAAAGCATTCCGAGGGAGAACACTGGAGAAGAGAGAACGATGCCTACAGGATACCACTGGAGAGGTCGGACATTAACTGATCACCACAGTTGAGTTTCAAGGATCAAAAGGGTAGTAAAAGAATACCAGAGAACCAAAAAGATGGTTGAAGTTTTCCATAGTAGGTCTCTTACTGCCACAGTTGACTATGCCTCATAGAACCCCTGGGACAGGGTAGAACTGCTCCTGTGGGTTTCTGAGGCTAGAGAGCCTCATCTTTCTCCAGTGAGGCAGCTGGTAGGTTCGAACCACAGACCTTGTGGTTAGCAGCTGAGTGTGTAGCCCACTCTGCTACTAGGGCTCTTTCCATAACAGGAGGTTTAAAATAACCACTGAAAAAACCCAGACCCATTGCTGGAGAGTTGATTGTGCCTCATGACGATGCGCCGTGTTCCAGATACAGAGTAGGACTGCTCCGTAAGTTGTCTCGGCTGTCATCTTTACAAAAGCAGACTGGCACGCTTTTGTTCTGTAGCACAGCTGGGAGGGGCACCCGGCGACGGGAAGTGCTGTGACTATCACTATCTGATTGTGAAAGGAGCCCTGGTGGACCAGTGGTTATGGTCAGCAGTTCAAAACCGCTCAGCGCTCTGAGAAAGCGAGATGGGGATTTCCATTCCCGTGATCAGTTACAAGCCTCGGAAACTCACTGGGGCAGTTCCACCCTGTCCTGTAAGGTTGCTATGAGTCGGCATCGACTCGATGGCAGGGAGTTTTAGCGGATTGCGAACAGGCAGCCCGTTACAGCTGAGGGATGAGGCGGTCTGCAGGCGCAATGGATACCAGACCCTTGGCGAGCCCAAGGATTTGCACGAGTATCTCTGGGAAGCAGAACTGGGGTGAAGCCCAACTAGCCCCAAGGATGAACCGGCAGGCATTTGAGCTAACAGGCAGGAAGAAAGGAACACTGATTTCCTTCACTCAGGGTGCATTCAACCAGACCCGCCATGCAATCCTCACCTCTCCCATGAGCTCCGCGTGAACCTTGGACACACCATAGATGGTCCTGGGTCTCTGGATACAGAGATCAGGGGTCGGGTCCCGGGGAGAAGTCGGTCCGAAGGCGCCAATGGTACTAGGCACAAACAAGCGCAGGCCGTGCTCGGTTGCAATATCCAGCACGTTGTGCAGTCCTGAAATGAAGACACAGCAGCACAGTCTGAAAACTGCTTTTTGACCAAAGAGCCGGGAAAGTTGGCCAATGGCTCCTACTGGGTAAGAGGCGGACACTTACCAGTTATGTTTACTGCTCTCGCCAGAGACACGTTCGCTTCTCCAACGGCACTGAGCAAAGCGCTATAGTGAAACAACCAGGTGATACGGTTGTTCACCACTATCTCGCGCAGGTTCTTGTAGTCCAGGATATCGGAATAAATGAACGGACCTACGAGAAGTACAGCCACAGAGGTGAAGCTGGAAGAGCGACAAGGACCTTCCCCCTTGTTGCCGTGTAACTTCCACTAATACCAAGTTGGTGGGCAAAACCACTTGGCCAGCTGGCGGCACTCTTCCTGATAAAGGAATGCCACAGCACAGCCACCGTGTGCTTGGTCAGTGCTCCTGGGGCCGAGGGCCCTGGGGTCCAGTCCGACTCAGCGAGCGGCCCATGTGAAGGGGCGGAGCGGCCGGTAGGGTTTTTTCAGCTGCTGTCTTTATAGCAGCAGGTCACGGGTCTTTCTCGCACAGAGCCACTGGGCGGGTTCAAACCACCAGTCCTCCGGGTAGCAGCCAAGTGTTTGCTTACTCACTGTAGCACCAGGGCCGTCCTTAGAGTCAGCGTTAGCTAATAGCTCTCAAGTGCTTTATGTCCATTAACTTTCACACCACCTTTACGGTAGATGAGGAAATAGAGGCACCGGGATAAGTACGTGGCCAAGCTAAACAGCAAGCAAGGAAGCACTAGGGCTCAGAGCCCAGGTAAGCAGAGCCAGCCCCAGGGTCAGTGCTGTCAATGCCCAGACTGCGACCCTGCTTGGACACAGGTCTGAACCACCACTGTTCAGAGGGATTTCACTTTACCTAAAAGCTGCAGTCTAAAAGAAACAGACAAATGGAGTTTTAGAAGAATTAAACAGCACACCTACACCTTTGTACAGGAGAACCATAAAGCATACCCAATCACAGTCCCTGTCTGCTGATGTTATCTAATACCGATTCGCTCCACAGAAAGTAGCAGATGACCCGGACAGGACCAGGAGGCATTACGGAATCATTTGTAAGGCTGCAGTAACTGGACTGTGAGAGTCTGGGAGCTCTGATGGCATAGTGGGCCACTGAGTACTAGTCACAAGATCTGTTCACCAGTCACTTCTTGTGGAAAAGTCGAGGCTTTCTACCTTGGTAAGGATTTGTCAGAAAACTTCAGAACCCCACAGGCGCAGTGCGAGTCTGTCCTCTGGGGCAGCTCGGAGCTGGCATCAGCTTGCTGCAGTCGGTTTGGTATGGAGACTCTGGACGGGTCGTTTCATAGCGCGTCGACATGGGGATGGCTGTTGGGTGCTGTCAGGTCGACTTGGACTCACAGTGAGCCCCTGGTCACATGGCAGGCCCCAGGGGGTCATGGGGTTTTCTGGAGTATTATCTTTATGGAAGAAAATCACCATGTCTTTCTTCGGTGGAGCAGTCGCCTGGGTTTCAACTACCAGCCTCTGGCTAGCAGTTTAGTGCTTACCTGTTTATATCACCAGGGCACCTTCTACAATGAAATACGGGAATCAGATATCTCCACCTGTCTAAGGTTCCTATTACCTCTTTACAGAAGCACTCGATGTTGGTTTATTTTCTCTCTGAGCCACTTAGTTGACTAAAAACTCAACAGGACAAGAATCAAATCTTTGGGCATTATTCCAAAGCTTGACTTCAAGCTCAAGAGAACTCTCGGGCTTGTGTCAGTTGAATGACAACTGTGTTATTATAGACATAGGGCAGAACTAAGAAGGGCAAAAGCAAGTATCACCGTTGTATCATAATAACGTGTCTTTCTGCAAGTCACGAACCTCGTACACGCTGACTCCATGAGCAGTCTAATAAGTGCATTTAGAAAATAAAAAATAAAAGCAATACACGCTGATATCCTACCACTGTGGAAGATGTGGTTGGGGGGCTTCCTTATATCAGACAAGATCACATTGTCCTTTCCAAATCGCTTCCTACAAGGCAAATCAGAACACACCAGTTGGCAACTCTATGACATAAGCAGTCTTATGAAACCAATATTTGAATAAGAACCACACCTTCTCCTCACTGATCAACTACCTGGTTATCCATATTTAATCACCTATCCAACTCTTTTGCTCATTAACCTGTGTTTCTCCCTAGGTCCAGCTCCTGCCCACAAAGCCACCCCTCTGCATCAGTTTCACAGGGATGAGGCCAGCTCTCCACAGACCCTTTGCCAGTCCCATCCCCACCTGGGGAACCACTAGTGCAGTGCTTCATGGCAGGGATGGCTGCAGGGCTCGGGGCAGAGTCCTAGGAAGCACCCTTGAGTGTGGAGAGGCTCAGGTAAAGGAAAGGGAAGGGGGATTGCTGCTGCTGTTACCCCCTATTCCCGCACCCTGGAGAGACACACAGGGCGAGGATACTGGGGGAAATTCTGGACCCAGGGGCTGCAGAAGAAACCAGTTGTCCCCTGCTCCTCTGCCATGACCTACGCTACTGAACTCTTCTTCCCAGCAGCCATTGGTCTCCAGGTTCTTAGCATTGGATTCCAAGCCTCCCCAGACCAGCAGTCCATCATTCATCTCCATGAGGACTGCCCCAGCCTGCAGGGCAGCCATAGGTGGCCAGGGCTGACGGGGGGTGGCTGCAAAAGGCTGCAGTCACCAACCCCCACCACTGTCTTCACCCCTCGCCCTACTGGTTGTCAGAGCCTCAGAGCCACTAAATGTACCTCTAGCCCAACCACCAGGCCCCAGGGCCACTTGAACACCATTCCCCAAGGCCGTGAGGTCCAGAGCACAGTGGTGCCAGGGATACAGCAGTTCCGAGAGTCTGGGCCCAGGTCTGGGTCCTAAAGCCAGCTCCTCCCCATCCTCACATAATGCTGATTTTGTATAAGGACCTGGCCTTTAGGACCTAACCATGTTGCTAAGTGAGGAGTTGGTATATTAGTTTCCTGTCAGCCTCCAAGTCCCTCCTTTTATGGAATAAATAAATCGTTTTATGGAGGTCTCTTACATATATTATAACAAACCATACATCTGTTCCCTCAAGTGGACATGTACAATGATTGGCATCAACAATTTCTAAACATTATCTTTCTTCTTGAGTCTTTAGATATCAGCTTTTTTTTTCATTCCTTTAATATCAGTCCCTACTTTTCATTCCTCTCCTCGCACCTCCCCAGTCGTCCTCAATACACACCTTGAGGTTCCTCTCCTCCCCACTCATCCCCAGCACATACACCGTCAGATTCCTCTCCTCACACCTCCCCAGTCGTCCTCAATATACACACCTTGAGGTTCCTCTCCTCCCCTCCATCCCCAGCACACACACCGTCAGATTCCTCTCCTCACACCTCCCTAATTGTCTTCAGTATGTACACACGCCATTCATTCTTGCCGTAATGAAGCCATTCTCTATGGGTGGCCCCCATCTTCCAGTTCTACCCTCACCCCATGGTCACTGCTGCACTTGTCACCCATTTCTTCCCATTATTCCTGGAGTTTTCCCTCTCCCTGCTCAGTTTTATGTCCTTCTCACCTCCTCTGCTCCAGCTCGCCAAAATCTCATTGTTCCCTACTAATTGCTGCCTATTCCTCCCTCCACCCACAGACAAACGCCAGGTAATGATTCATCTCGATCCAAGTTTTACTTTGTCTGTTAGAAAAGAAAGGATGCACTAGGCTGGGAGACATCAGCTCGTGGGCTTATGACATGTCCTGGCCATGAGAAGGCAAAAATTACATGTGATGTCTTAAAAATAGTCAAGGAACAAGGCAAGGAAGAAGCCATGGTTAAAAAGAAGCCTAAGACAAGCTTCACATATGTAAGAACTTACATTTTAAACTTCAAGATTTAGAGCTCTTACCTCAAAAGGTTCGCAAGCCCCACTCCAAGTTGGCCAAGACCCCCTAGGTGAAGAAAATAAAAAATGGAGCTTTAATCCAAGTCTTAACTAACTCTAATAATTCCAAAATATAATAACTGAATTCAACTCTTTTTATTCTTAGCTAGTCAGGTAATGTCTTAGATTGATCTAATTATTGTTTCCTTATATGCTTCTAGGAGTCCTGCTGGCATAGTGGTCACATGTTAGGGTGATAATTGCAGGGTTAGCGGTTTGAAACCATTAGCCACCCCTCAGAAGACTGGGCTTTCTACTCCTGTAAACAGTCACAGTCTCAGAAACTCACCGGGATGGCAGTTCCACCCTGTCCTGTCAGGTCACCATATGTCAGCAGCGGCTGGATGGTAGCAAGTTAGGTTTCGGTTTGGTAGATGCTTCTAAGCAACACATGGCAGCACTGAGAACATGGGACTACCTCTCCCAAACTCGTACGGAGAGCATTCCAGATGGCAAATACAAGGCTCTCTGAGCACAGAGAGACTGAGAGGATGAGGAGAAGCAAGGACATTGGAAGAGAAAAAACTTTAAAGCACATCTCAAGAAAGCATGGCTCCTTCCTTGGGTCACCAATTCACATGAAGCCTTCATGATTCTGAAGCAGTCCTGAAATCTCTTCTATTACACATGCCAGAACCATGCAAAGACAAATAGACATGGATCGATTCTATGAGTGGGCTGTATTCTGTCCTCTAAAAGATGCTCATGTCCTAACCCCTGCATCTCTAAAGGTAACTCTGCTTACAAGCAGGGCTCTCCTTGTGTTATGTTACTGAGGCCCCTGCTGGAGCAGGCCCCTAAACTCATGCCCTTCAGAATGGCATCTTAGAAAACGGAAAATAGACACTGGGGAAAAAGACCATGTGAGGGGCCTTTTAGAAGCCTGGGAATGCCAAAGACTGCCAGCAGCTACTGGACGCTCAAAGAGGCAAAGGACCTTCCCCTAGATCCATGCCCTGAATTCAGACATCTAGCCCCTTGAACTGTGAGGAAATGAATGTTCTTTGAAGCCATCCACAGGTGTTTTTCTTCAGGCAGGACTAGGTCATTAGGACAGACATTAACCTTTAATGGGAAGATCAAGGATCCTGTTCTCCATCAGAACTGGACTGAGACAAGAAGGAGGGACAGACCAAGATGGCCACTTGAAAGAAGAGAAGCTAAGTGACAAGGAGCCACTAAGACCATGAAAAATGACTTCCACAGCTCTCTACTTTGAAGGCTGACCAAAGCCCCTGGCAGAAACTGGAGGGAGCTGGGGGCCAGCAGCACATTCGGAAGGAGTTCAAAGGTCAGTCTCATACAGGAGCAAATGCGGGAAAATCTAGAAAGTGGGTTTCCTGTTAGTATTTGTGAACCGGGACAAAAACAAAGACCTCCAAACTAGTAGCAGACCCTAGCAGATACTGCGTCACCGGGAACTGCAAGAGACTAGAGCGCATATCCGGACAGACAACCATCTGAGTGAACTAGAGGGGAAATGACTAACCTTGAAACCCACTGACAAGGTGAGCAGGAGGCTGTGGAACACCAAGCAACATTGTTTATGAGGAAATTAGGCCAATGATGGGCAGGCAAGAAGAGGGAACCATACTGCATGTGTTAATGGACTGAGAGGCTGACTTGGGGGTGGGGGCAGCAATTACTGAGTGGCAGAGGGAGGGCTGGG